ACTGTTCCAGAGTCTGGGGCGATAAAATAATAATTGTCTCTTTGTTTTCCTTAAAAATGGTATGATGATTTGTACGTTTAAGGGAGTTATGAACTTTTGATCTTTTCAGCTACCAGTAATTGTGTAACAAGCTTGTTTGCAATGTTAGTTAGGTAATACAATATTTTGTATGTTTTCAGTTTTACGACGTCAAAGAGAAGGCAACAGTCGAGGACATTAAATCAGCACGAAAAAGGAAAATAAGTCTTTTTATTGGAGCATCGTTATCTCGTTGTCTAGCTGGTGAAAACTAGAAAACTCAGGGCGAGGATAGCACATACAGAGGGCCACCTCAATGTTGTGTACTGCTGGGATATTTATAACTGGAGCTATTTGTAGCTATTAGAGCTATTTCATTATATTTTGTAACTTTGTAATGTATTCCAATTTTTCATTTGTTTTAGTTAGTTACTGTTCTTACTACCTTAAAACTGAAGTTTTAATCATTGGTCCCAAGGCTCAGAGAGAGAAACTCTTGTCTAAATTAGAGGCATTTTCACTATGTCCTTCGCTACAAGTGAAAAACCTGGGTGTTATTTTTGACTCTGAGCTTGGTTTTATCCCACATATTAAACATGTAACCAAAATTGGATTTTATCATCTAAAAAATATAGCCAGAGTCCGCCCTATTCTCTCTCGGGCCAACACAGAGATGCTGATGCATGCTTTTATTACCAGTCGCATTGATTACTGTAATGCCCTGCTCTCTGGTCTTCCTAAGAAGAATATTTCAACTTTACAACTTTTGCAAAACTCGGCAGCTCGTGTGCTGACGAAGACCAGAGGGCGGGCCCACATTACACCAGTTTTAGAATCGCTGCATTGGCTCCCCGTGTGTTTCAGGATCGATTTTAAAGTTCTTTTATTGGTTTTTAAATGTCTTAATGGTCTTGGGCCTTCTTATCTCTCAGATCTGCTTTTACCATACGAACCCTCGCGGACCCTGAGGTCCTCTGGTACTGGCCTTTTGATTGTCCCTAAAGTCAGGACACATACTCACGGAGAGGCAGCTTTTCAGTGGTATGGTCCTCGTCTGTGGAACAGCCTGCCGGAGGAGCTCAGGGCCACAGAGAACGCACATGTTTTTAAGAACAGGCTCAAGACCCACCTTTTTAATTTAGCTTTTACTTGGCGTTTATTTATTTTATGCTTATTTATTCTATCCTGTTATTCTATTATTAATTTGGGCTTTACCTAATATTTATTGATTTTATTCTTATTGATTTTTTAATCTTCTTACTCTATTTATATTTATATTTATATTGTATCCCGTTCTTATTTATTTTATCTTTTTACCCTGTATATAGCCTATTGTGGCATATCTCCAGTGTTTCCTCGGAGGGGGCTCTCTGCACCGGGGCTGTGATCGACCGTGGCTGCTGGGTCTCTAGGGGTCCTCTCAGCCTGGCTGGGGGGCTTCTTTGCCTCCCTCCTGCTGTGTGCCCAGCCTGGAGGCTGCGGTCTGTGACCGGCTCCCGGTGCAGACGGCTCCCTGTTATAGTGTTTCCTCACTTGGCTCATGCGAACCAGCCCAATTTTTACTCTTTAAGTGTGCGCGCGTGTGGGGGGGGGGGGGGGGGGGATATGTGTGTATTCACATCATTTATGTTAATGAGAGTGTGGGGAGTGAGTTGGAGGGTGGGGTGGGCTGCTTTTAACTATGTAAAGCACTTTGTGCTACATTTTTTTGTATGAAAAGTGCTTTATAAATAAAGATTGATTGATTGATTGATTGATTGATTGATTGATTGATTGATTGATTGATTGATTGATTGATTGATTGATTGATTAGAGCAACATTGAGAACAAAATTTTCTCAGGGATTAAAAAAGTATTCTGATGATGAAGACAATGTTCAAACTGGCCCAGCCAATCACGTGACCTAAATGCAAGTGAACTGTTATGGAAAGAACTAAAGCTTTGAATTTATAGAAGGGAATCTTCAGGATTTGAATATTGTTTGTGTGGAAAAATGGGACAAAATCACATGTGAGTAATGCATGCAACTATCCATACAGGAGGCATCTCGAAGCTGTCATCACCAACAAAGGCTTTTATACAAAGTACAAAGTAAAGTATTTGTACAAAGTAGTAAATATATTTCAGTAAGTGTGTTCAATACTTTTTCCCTGTATCATTTCTGATTATTACACACACATGGACATCTATGGTTGGATTTCTTTGCATGTGTGGATTGGATGACGTCTGGTGAGAATTTCATGTCAGTAGCACTTATATATATATATATTTACTTAGAAAGTTACTGATGTTTTCTATATTTATTTTACCTGCTGTATGTGCTAGTTTTCCCCTTTAACCCTTGTGTGGTGTTCGTATTTTTGTTACTCAGCCAGTGTTCATGGGTCTGGTGGACCCGCTAGAGTTTTGGCTTTCCAAATTAACACTATCAAACAATTTTATGTTAAATTACTCAACAGATGTTTACTTCATCCCAATTACAAGACATATGAACAGCAAACATGGTTAATTTTTTCCCTTTACCTTTGTTAGATCACATTTATGAATTAATGTGCTTCTCGTTTTTCTTTTATATAAAATGTTATAAATAAATCAGTTATAATCAAGTGGAGTGAGTGGAAAGACACAACACATTTACACGTGAAAAAATAATTAATTGTTTAATTTTTCTTTTGAAAAAAACTGAACACGGGTCTCACAGACCCGAACACCATACAAGGGTTAAGGCCTGTTCTGCCTACCATTCTGAGACCTAGTGCCCTGGAAGAGTATGATAATTCAGGTTAAACTAAATTAAGGAGCAAATCTATTGAACATAATTATTATAACTAGAATAGATGCGTGGGGCACGATGTGTGCAGAAAGAAAATGGCCTGAAAGTGGGTCAACTGTGGTCTTTTGTAAATACAGATCTAGAAAATATTTGCTAACCAAAGCTGAAATTTCATGGTAATCATTATACATGTTTAAACCAATGAAACATTATTTATTTATTTATTTTACAAATTGGGGCAGGTTTAATAGAAAATCATCAAAGAAATTGATGATTTCAAATGAAAGGACCCAATTATTGAAAATGAAAACATTTCAATTCATAGATAAAAAAATAATAAAATAAAATCTAAATTAAAACCATAAAAATGTCTTATAGATTCAATCATACCTGCTAAAACTTGCCTGGTGACCCATGCATGTAGAGATGAGTGGAGGAAGTCATATGAAGCATTTGAGGCTTCTTCCTGATTCAAAGCCTCAAAGACAGATCATACCAGAGGTCAGTTGCAGTTATGGGACCCAAAAACTACAAACGGGTTCAGTGAATCACAAATGATTCACAGAACTCATTGACTAAAGTTCAAACACAAAAGAAATTCAGTCTTAAGCAGCTGTGCTTTTATTATAAAAATCAGTGCCCGCGAATCAAAGTGTTACATTTTGAAATGTAAATTTACTGATTCGATGTAGAGCTGCAGCTATCGATTATTTTAGTAACTGAGTAATCAAACGATTCATTGAATAAGAAATAATATAAATAATTTTGTCTTATTAATGAGAAATAATAAATATTCAAAAGAGGAAAAAAACTGTTTAACTGCATACAACATTCAGTTAAACATGCAGTCAAAAAATCCCAACTAAACCCTACATGTCATGTTGAAATTTCTTTTTTGAATAATTTCTGAAATGCAAAAAATATATAAATAATCTCAAGTACAGTCAAAGTTAAATAAAATAAGATATATATATGAAATCTATGGCATAATAAAATGATCTTTCCTCTGTCTCCCTCGAAGGCTTTCTGGTGTTAAGAGGGGCATAGTTTTAGTGCTACTGAAAACAAATGTTATGATGGAGCAGACATTAATTAATATTAATAATCCGGTGTCCAACCTAACAACCCTCAGGTCTGTGGCTAGGAGTTTAATGGCCCATGTACATTTTTATTGGCTGCCTCTTTGCTCTTCGCAGTGTGTAAACAGACTCCGAGTGCGTTTAATTGTGCCAGAGTCATCATCACTGTTGCTGCTGTATTAGGAGTGTTGTCGCAAATGTGGGTGAAACGCTTGCATTTACATCATTTAACACATCTGCGGGCTACAGAGCCACGCACTGAACGAAGCATCAAGTTGATTAATTCATTTGATTGACTGAACAGGTATTCCTGATGTGTGCCCTGTGCTCTATGTGTGGATGCATGCTCAATCATGCAGGTAAGTAAATCCCAAAAGGTTGGTTCATCTGGACGCAGCGTTTTCGTCACTCATCCAAGTGACTTCTACAGTCTCAGCTGACTGCAGGTTTCCCCAACCTATAAACAGTACATTTGCACACAGTGGGTTTGGTGCTGTGAGGAGCTCAGATGATCATGTGCCAATGTCAGAAAAATTATGCATAGTTAATTGTAATCAAATATTGACTTGCTTCATTGCTGTTGTGCTTTTTTTAATGTAAACTCATGTTTTGCAAAAAAAAAAAAGTGTACGTGATGGAGGGAAATGGATATCTTTTTTGAATTCAGCACTCTAAAAAAAAAAACCCCCAGAATTTACAAAAACTATCCCATGCAGCAGAAAAATGTTTTTTGCAGACCTGTGTTACAACTTTCACTAATGTTTACATTAACTTGGATTGTGAAGTCAGGGTTGGTGTGGCTTCACTGCAGAGTCCATTTCTTATTAATGGGCTGCATGCTACAGGTATTTAAGGTGGCATTATTTAGACCATTGCTTAAAAGACCATGGCTATAACCTTAGTCTTAGCTAACTGTAGGCCAATCTCCAACCTTCCTTCTATCTCTAATTCTTGAAAGAGAAGTGGTAAAACAGCTAACTGATCATCTGCAGAGGAATGGTTTATTCAAAGAGTTTCAGTCAGGTTTCAGAACTCATCACAGAACAGAAACGTCATTAGTGAAAGTTACAAAAGATCTTCATGTGGCCTCTGACAGTGCTCGTCCTTGTAGACCTCAGTACAACACTGAATACTGTTGACAGTATTATTTTATTACAGAGATCAGAGCATGCCATGGGAGTTAAAGGTACAGAACTGCAGTCATTTGAACCATACCTAACAGAATATAATTTGTTCATGTAAACAGAGTCCTCTTCACACACAAAACTAATTGTGGAGCTTCACAGGGTTCTATGCTAGGACCAATTTGGTTTCACTTAGGCAGTACTATTAGAAAACATAGCATATATTTTCATTGCTATGTAGACGATCGCCAGCTCCATCTGTCAATGAAGCCCAAGGACATATGGCAATTAGTTCTTAAGAGACTAAATTCTGAAAAAAATTCAGATAAAACTGGTGTGCAAATTAGAAAAAACAGGAACCAAAGTTGTATTTTTGTTTTATTTTTTCACTTCGTTTCAGCAGACTGTCTCAAGCTAATTCAAGCTGAATTTCAGAGCTCATATACTGTCATTGAAATAGCAGTAAAAACCAACATAAATATATTCCCACGTACCAGGTTTACTCACCCACCCCAAAAAAAGCCCAAAAGACAAGGGACAACTGTGTCCTCACCAGCACAGTACTGGTGAAAAACAAATAGCTGTTGGTTGGATAATTCTTTGATAAAAACAGAAAGGGGCACAAATAAACAGAGATTAGATGGGTTTGGATAGGTGTTTTTTTTTATTTTAAAACTTTCTATTAATGAGGTCTCAAAGTGTAAGCAGGGCAAAGTGCATCTCCTACCAGTAACTTACAGCCTAAGTGCTGAGCTTTCATTCAAAACACATTTTCATCTGAATCTCCATGTCAGACAAACAAAAAGTTTGCTCCCTGTCACCTGACAGAAGAAGAGAAGTGGTTTTTATCTGTCTTTATGTTTCATCTCGTTTCTGCGTTCAGCTCACAGACGGTGGGTGGGGTGGTGTGTGTTGCAGAACAGTGAACCTTCCCCTTTGCGCTACAGCTGTTCACTTCTTCCTCACATGTTGGTGCTCATCCTGGTCTGACTGTTGGCTGGTGTGAGTTCACCCTGGCTGCCTTCTCTGGGTGGAGACTGAGAACAGGAGGAAACAAGTAAGGCACTACTCTTGTTCAACAGCATAGCTATAAACTCTGTAACATTGAATAACAGGTGAGGTTCAAAAAAGAAAGAAGACTTTAAAAATCTTATCAGAATATTAAAACCCCGAGTCCAACAACCATCAGGAGCTAGTCTTAGTTACTGCCAGCAATGTTGACCAAGTTCTTGCAAATGTGGTCGAGGAACCGAATGGCTGGTGGGAATGAGCCAGATACCCCGTACTCCTGAAGCACCCACTACAAGGATACTCCAAGGGCCTTGACGAACTCAGAGCAAGTCCCATCCGCCCCAGGTTCCCTGCCATTAAGGAGTTGTTTAACTACCTCAGTGATTCCATTGTGGAAGGCGTGTCAGTGGAATTAAGTATTCATTCACCAACCACCTCTATCCTTAGTTAAAGTCAGTAGCACTCTACCCGCACTATGTATCATGCCAGTAGATAACTGGTTTCTCCTCCTGAGTCACCCAATCCAATTTTAGAAACCCCCCTCTGTTAATATTAATACTGTAATCTGTACCGTTCATTAATTTACAATCAAATACATTTTAGATATGCCATTAAAAAGAAGCTCATCACCAAATCACACGAAATTTACTGTAGTCAGACTTGATAATAACCTCTATCGCAACACAAAGAACATTATGAACAACTGAAAAAAGAAAAAAAAAAGTTATTCACTACAATGTGAAGAGAAGAAAATGTCTCTACCTTGACGTGAATCTGGTTGCGCAGCACAGCAGCACGGAGAATCATGGCTTTGGCTCGTCTCTGGAACTCTTTGCCCATATGAAGAGACTTCTCAAATGTGGTGCTCCTTTGGTCGACATCCCTCGCATACAGAATCTACGAGCAGGTCAGAGTCCCAGTTTGTCAGGGTTCAAACAACAAAGTACCTGTGGCAACGGTTTGATGTGTGCAGCGTTTTCACCTTGCTGTGGGAGTCGATACGTGCATTAATGAGACCCTCCAGTATGAGCTGGGTGAGCTCGTCCTCCAGAGCTGTTACTGTTGTGTTGAACGCCTGAGCCATCTTGGTCATGTCTGCTGACACGTAGGGGCTGAAATACTGGGAGGAGGAGAAAACAGAAAACCCACACACAAGAAAAATATCAGTGCTCAAAAACATGACACTTGAAAAAGTTAGTACAAAGTACAAAGATTTATAGTGATTACATTAGTTTGGTCAATCATCTTTCTCAGAAATGCCTGTGCATGTTAAACAGTATTACATGTATATGAGATGCTTCCTTGTAACCAACACTATCATCTTCATTTACAGATCACAACACTTCACTAGACCTGTCAGCAGCTGCAGTGCCATCGTGTTACCACAAGCCAAACACGCACAGCACAGTACTGCTGACTGGATTTAGGCAATCAAACTGTGAGACAACACTGCCACCATCAAGTCACAATAACTGCAGATGAAACAGATTCTCCCTAAGATTCATCCAGTACTTAGATATTCAGAAACTGCGTAAATCCATTAACAGTGACAGTCATTATGACAGACAAGTGAAACTAGTAAAACTTTCAAATACCTAATATTTTATGTGACTATTTGTTGTCTCAAATATACACATTCCCTTGTCTTTGCTTTGTTTTTTTGAAGCCAGTGATGGTAGGATGTAATGTGTTACTATCGGATAAAGGTGGCAGCACTACACCAATGCAGGGGGCAGATCTATCTTATGGAGGGGCTTCATCCTGCCACGGCTACTATTTATACACCCTGTTTTGTTCCCCCCCCAAAGAATCAGCAGCAACTTGATTATCCTGTGCACGGTCAGTGTGTATGCAGTATGTCTCACCTGAATCAGGGCTCTGTTTCTGATCTGGCTGTACAGTGTCTTGACATGTGGTGCCAGGTACATGTCCAACAGGAGGTTATCCTGCAAGAAACAGCACAATCATATACTGCACTTTCTGTGTGTGTGTGCGCGCGCTCATATTATGCAACAGCGGGAGCACACACTCTCCTTTGACGCATGTGTAGTGTTACTTCAGGGGTGGGCAGTTCATTTTCTCTACTGGCCACATTAGAAAGTGAGGAGGCCACATCAACAAGCTGAACTCAGTTCTGGTCACTATTAATTTATGTTTCTCTTTTCTTTTTGGTCTTGAACAAATGTATTAAAGTCAGGTACAATGTCTGAGCCTTCCATTCTGCATCAGAGCTCTGAAATATACTCACCTCTCTCTTTAGAAGACTCAATTTTGGTTCTTAGGTTCCTACCCTTTAGTACTTTGAACAGGCAAAGCCAGCTGATAGCTGTGTAGTGGCCTACATCACCATGTGTTACATGTCTGTGACTCAGTGCTCTTACCCTGATAAAGTTAACTATTTGAAATGGACTGGTTCTTAGCAGTTTTCTACCCTACCTGAGTACTCAAAGCGCTTTATGACACATGCCTCATTCACCCACTCAAGTGCTTTCTAACATTCACCGTGCAATAGATGCATCGGAGAGCGACCTGGGGGTTAATATCCTGTTCTAGGGCTGTTCGATATAACGACATATATCGGATGACGATATAAAAACGTCTATCGTTTCATTTTACGCTATCGTTTGTTTCGTGGTGTCGCAAAATAAACTGTTTACGGCAATATTTTTTTCATCGTTTGATGGCCACTGTAGTGGCTATATTAATTTCTTAAAGTTCTCTCTTTCTCTTATATTTAATATAACCACACTACGGACGGACAAGCGCCTGTTTTTAATGGGTTGTCGTTAGCAACAACGACGGTAACAGCATCGCGTGTCTGCTTGTTTATTTTCCACATAAACCTTTCACAATAAAGCTCAAGATCCTGTTGAGAATTTTCAAAATAAACTGAATCATGTGAGAAAGTATGCAGAGTATTGACGGATGAGAAGCAAAAAAAAAAAAAGAAAAAAGAAAGAGTCGTCAGGTGCTAAAGAATAAACCTTAGACTCAAACGTTAGAACAGGCTTTCCCCGCAGCACGCCGTGTAATAAATACAAAGAAAACGGCGGCCGTTACAACTTATGTCTAAAAATGTGTAGTTTCATGCATCGGTTAAAACACTCAACTCCAGGTACACGACGCCCAGCTGGAAACACTTCACCTACCCGAGATTCACAGAATTTACAGAAAATATTAAATTTTTTGTGATTTATATCGTTATCGGGACGATAGATGTTTTATATCGGAATATACGATTTTGGTCATATCGCACAGCCCTATCCTGTTCAAAGATATCTGGTATGCCCTAGGTGTCAAACTCTGGCCCGCGGGCCAAATTTGGCCCGCAGCCTAATTACATTTGGCCCGCGAAGCCATACCAAATTACTATTAGAGCTGGCCTACTGGTATTATACAGCTAATATATATATTGTTTAGTATTAAGCTTTGCTGTTCCATATTCAGTTTTCAGCAAAACGTTTGAGTCCATAAGAAAAGATTCATTCTTATATCTGGAGGAAGATTTTTTTTTTCAATAAATATTAACGTTAGCTCGCGACTTTGTTCCATTTTGAATTTTGGCCCACTGTGTATTTGAGTTTGACACCCCTGTGGTATGCAGACAGAAGCAACCAGTGATTACAGGATTAGTAGCACGTTTAGATGACCTGCTTCACCTCATGAGCTACAGTTCCTCATCAACAACATGGTTAATTTTTAGCACTGATATACACAACACATCCTGTTGTTTTATACAGTGCAAAACTCAAATTATTTTCAGCTCCAAGTTCATTTTAAAGTTAATTAACAAAACTGAGTAACTGAGTTGCATAAATATCATAGCTCTCGTCCAGAACTAGGGTCTGCTTTGTTTTTCAACCACAGCTCCAGATTTCCTGCACTGTCCTCAGTCTATCTTGGAGAGGGGCCCATTCTCATATTCTTCCAAACACACTTTGATAAATTCAGAGAATGAGTTAGTGTTGTGTGTTTGTAGTGATAGTGTGATGAAGCCCTTTCAGTCTGTTGAACCTTTCTGGACAGTTATTTGCCTACAGGCAGCTGCCTGTAGGCAAATAACTGTCCAGTTGAATGGTGTGATCTAGATCACACCATTCAACTGCTTATTTGGAAGTACTGACATCTGCTGGTCATTCGATGTACAGCAGCCCTGCTGTGATAATAGATGTGGACCACATAAGAACAAATCAGAATCAGATACTTTGATCCTGGGGAATTTTACATACAGTGGATATGCAAACGTAATGATGTGTCAGTTGTAGAATAGCTATATGAAGTGCTGTATAATATACACACATACACCTCTAACCATCTGTGAGAAGATCTGTTATTATTGAGCGATAGCATATCAAAATGCTCCCAAACTGCTGATATTTTTTGCCTTTTTGGTGGCTCCATAATGTGCTTACAATCTCCTTCCAAGCTCATTATGATCCTCAGAATCACCTCAGATCCAGTTCATACAAAAATGTACTTCCCGTGTCTTTTCATCAGCTCAAACAGGGCCTCGTTTATCTTTGGTCAAGTGATATTCTGAGGAAAGATACGGGTCATGACACAGGCTTCCTCGGCTCTACACGGGCCTCAGGGCTTCAGTGTCAGACATAACAACACTACCTGCTAGCAAAGGTTCAGCTTTCCATTTCTAGTGAGTGAAGTTCTTGTATTTCTCTGAATGTTTAGTTTTGCAATGGAGACTCAAAATTCAATCCTTAAGCACAGTAATTTGTGCTACCAGAACTTGCATGATGTATACCTTTATACATTTGAATTCTAACCCACTGACCTCTTAAGGGCCAGTAAGGGACAACTAAAGGACCAGATGTGGCCCAGGACCCAAACAATGGCCAGTTTTTTGTTAGTTTAAAAACCTTTCATGCGCTAACCTTCATTTCATCCAGTAGCTTGAGACAGGATGCATATTTAGACTCGTAGAACTTGAAGATAATGTCACGAATTTGAGGTTCCAACTCTAAAAATAACTTAAAGGAGCTAGGAAGAAAAAAAACAGATACAAAGTATTAGCATGGATTGCTGTCCATCACTAGAACTGATTTCTATCCAAGAAATATTTGTACACCAGCCTACCTGCTGGAGATGACGTTGCGCTGAAGCTCCTGTCTGTCAAACGTGGCCAAAGCACACAAGCCCCCATACACAGCTACATTACTGGGCGACAGTAGCTGCAGGGAATACACATAATGATATTTCTCCCAGCAATTAGACTCATGCATAGATGCTCATATTATGTCCTACATTTTTAGGATCCAAACACACTGGTTGAGGTGTACATGTAACCATGTAAGTTACTAATACATGGTTACAAATGAAAGAGGATAGAAGACATGTGGGTGATATTCCTTTTTTTTAAATCTGAGATGCTAATGCTTTAGTGCAACACCCAGTGCAATGTTGCATGTTACATCTTCAGTTTTCATGTACGAGCTCACCTCTGGACAGTCACAGTGGTCAAAGGAAGCCTGCAGGAAGCACTTGGCAGCTGGCTTGTATTTTCGAGAGGCCAACTCGGCCAATCCTGATGTACCAACAAGCAAGATGAACAATATACTGGAAATCAGGTCACATTTTTCCAAACTTTATAAATACAAGACCAATCTTGGTTAACAGAAAGCAACCTCTTCAAAAATCACTCACACACACACACACACACACACACACACACACACTCACCTGCAGCACACTTTAATTTGGTGAGGACAGCTTGATTTTGACTATCTCGCTCTCCTCTTTGCTTTTAGGGGGGGAGGAGAGCAAAAAGAAGAAATTTACTATAAATATTTTATTACTCTTCATAAAAGGCTGGACACAATATATAAAATAAAAGAGATGCTGAAGTATGTAAACTGTGCTCACCTCTGCAATTTCTGGTGTGGACTCTGCCTTATTGACGTAGCTCAGCACGTGCGACCAGTTCTGGAGGTAAACACTAACCTGTGAACGCACAATTTAAGTCACAAAGACTTTGTTTACTCACGTGCTTAATCAGACAACTCAATGTCTGTAAAAAACAAACAAACAAGCAAAAATAACCCAAAAGATTCTGTTGTGTGTAACAACTTTTCCAGGTTTTCGAATTCTGTTAATTGGCTGAAGTGCTATCTGTAGAAAACTACAGTGACACTGAAAGTGTCTTGGCACAATTCAGTCTAAGTTATATAGTTCCCAGTACGTATAGGTCTGTGTACTGGGTACTATAGCTGGGAGAAAGTCTGGAAGTGCTGACGTGCACACAGATTTCAGTAAAGTGAAACATCTTGGGCAAATACTCATATACTTTTCTGATGTGCAGAGTTTTGCCAGAACCAGGTTTCTAAGTTCAATATAAACTTAATCTCTCAATTGTAATAAGAATTGTGATAAGGCTAATAATCCCTGGACAATTGTGTCAATGGAAACAGTGACTGCAGCAGCAGAGCACTGTGCTTCCTTCCTGCTGTACCTTGATGACATTCAGACACATGTTAATGACATGCTTAGCACTGGTGCAGTAGTCTCTGGCTCGAGAGTAGCACTTCAGAGCATTACTGAGGTCACCACAGTCCAGATAATGGTCCCCCAGGTCATCATGGCCTCTCCTGGGGAGAAGGGATGGAAGGTGAGGAGACGGCAGACATCCACAAAAACAATGTTATCTGAAAATGACCAATCTGCTCATCAAAAAACTTTGACCCTCACTAGTTTTGTATATATTTATTATTGTTCCAGCAAAAAAGACTGAGACAGCACCTCTCCTTCTGCTTCTTAGCTGGATTACTGATCTTATTCAATGTTCAGTTGGTCTTAAGCTTAAACTTTAGATTAACAGTAATGCTTTTGCAACCACACCTGATGCTCTCTTTGATGGAGTTGCCCTTGTAGTTCTTAAGATCCGTATCTAGTTTCTCCAGTTTAAGCAGAGCCTTTTTTCTGGTCGATTCAGCCCAAGCTGAGTCCAGGGGAGGGGGAACAACCCCTCCTTCAGGAACTGTGTCTGGCACACCCTGCACTTCCCTATAGGTGGAGCCCAGGAGAAAGAAAGAAAAAGAAAGAAAAAAAAAATCACACAGAAATATTTACAAATCTAGAAATTGAACAATTTGGAGGCTGGGAGTTAAGACTTTCCAAGCCTAATTTTAAATGCAGCAATGCGGTTTTGCTTATCCATAATGAAGCACATGTGATATACAACACCTAAGTTTTTGTTTGTACTGTTTGAATCATGCTGTTCTTTGCTACAACGCAGGATTTAAGGATTTAAGGAATTGGGAATGTCTTGTTAAAAAAAAAAAAAGCAGCTCTGTCCAAAAGGAAGCACCCAATTGCTGGGAGAGGACTAGAAAGAATACCGTGTGGCCTCTGTGAGTTTGCGGTGAATCTCTTCGTAAGTGTCAACATTGAAGGTCCTCTGAACAAAGGTGAGCGCCATCTTCAGGGCCTCCACTCGGAGCTGAGGGCAGTGCTCAGCAATGAACTGCAGTCTCTCAATGCGCATTAATCCACTATAACTGGTCGCATACTGCTCCAGATCCTGCACAGACAAGGAGTGAAACATCTGTTCAAAAACATGTCAGAACTGCTTCGATTAAACAGTCAGGTAACACTTTCATCAGTGGATGATATAGCTCCGCATGTACAAGGATTTTAGCTAACTTTCGTTCATTCACACCCAGAACAGTTAACAGAAACAAGAATCAATTAGCAGCAGGAATCTGCGTCACATTAAACATTACAAATAAAATAAGAGATATTGGGATATATGTAACAGTTTGTGAGACAATACCAGTGTGGGGTTCTCCACAATATAGTTGGTGTCTGGAGCATTCTGCTGGTCCTCCTGGGGATCTGCATCAATCTGCATGGGCTCCACAGACCCCTTAGAAATAGATCACATACATAGTTTTGTTAGATTCAACAACAGACCTGATCTTGGGACTAGATAATGCGTAATTTACATCAGGAAGCCCTCTCTTCAAAGGGCTTTTCATCAGTAGTTCACTGGTGCTTAAACTCGTACTGGTAGTTTACTATGTCGGAGTAACTGTACAGGAAACAATGTCCTATAATGGATACGCAATATGTTCAGTAGAATAAGTGGGCACAGCCCCCGCCCTATTCCTTAATGCTTTTATGCCTTTATGTTGAAAATGCAAAACAGGCGCAGTGATTTATTGAAACATATGCAAACATAAGCTTTTCTTGGATGGCAGCCGTCTTTTGTTCCATTCTCTGTCAAGATGATACCACACTTTAATAATGTTGAGCTTTGGAGAGGACAACCCCTACATGACAGGAAAACACAGTGGAATGACTAAGGCGGAGCTTCCCAAAGTGCGGGGCCCGCCATTGCAGGGGGGGGGGGGGGGGGCAGTATGAAAGGGGGAAAGAAACCAAAAACCGCTTGGACACTGCTAGCACGGGGCGCCCACACAAACGCAAAGCAGGAGATGAAGCATCGCTGAATATGTTTCCAAACCAACTTCATTCTAAGCCAAAGATTAGAAAATATGATGAAGCACATCTTCCCTTTGGCTTCACCTGCACAAGTGCCAAGGTAGATCACTGGACTAAGGTATGATTTTACTGCATTGGCAGTAAGATAGATAAATAGAACTTTATTAATCACTCGGATTATTAAACTGAAAGAAATTTGAATAGTAAAAAAAATTAGAATAAAAATTAAAGGGAAAAAAGAATATAAACATAAGAATGAATAAAATATATATAAACATAAGCAATGTAGCAGCCAAAACGCCTATTGCACAGTATTTCGACTATTGTCAGTCTATTGAACAGTGATTAGTTGTTATTTAGTGTTTATTTGTGCAAACACTACTGCTTATTTGTCCCCGCCCTCCTTTGTCCTCCTGTTTTCCTGCCCCCAACGAGGAGTTAAACAGTTTGATGGCGTGTGGGAAAAAGGAGTTTTTAAGTCCTAGACATGGGGAGAAGCTAGCTGACGCTGAGCAGACTCCTTTGGTTATTTATGACCATTCACAAGATGCCCAACACTGTCCATAATGTCTAGCAGTGTTTTTAGTGTCCTCTTCTCTGCCACTGTCACCAGAGTGTCCAGCTTCATGCCGACCACAGAGCCAGCCTTCCTTATTAGTTTGTCCAGCCTGGATGAGTCCGTCTTTGCTGTGCTGCTCCCCCAGCACACCACAATATAGAAGAGTACACCGGCAACAACCGAGGAAAGCCTGTGGAAATACAGTCTGCTTTGGCCTTTTTTATACAGGTGTTGCATGTTGTATGACCAGTCCAGTTTGTAAGTGTACATTTTTCAGTTACAGCTACATTTTTCGCCAATCTTATGTTTTCTAAAAAGGTCTTGCATGGTTGAAAATCTGACTTTCTGCATTCATAATTATAACAACTTTGGTCGAATCAAATACCACACACTGAAATGCAGCATCTCTGTATCTCTCAAATCCTGTATCAGGTCTTTACTGGATTTATTCCCATTTCTTGAGGACATGACTTTCACACAATGTTCATCTCCTGTAGGTAGTTTTTATGCCAGACACATCTGTTGTCCAAGCAGCATTCCAAAATAAGCCAAATTTTGGCTAGTAACTCTTTGGGAAACACACCGTTTTTGCAAAACTACAATTTTATGCTTGTCAAATTATATTACAGAACAGGACAATTATTAGTCTCCCTATGAGTTTCTTTCTTCTTCTTTTTTTTTAAATAACCTGAAGTGCTGTTGGCAACATTTCCAAACATCTTAGTTTTACTTTGGCTGCTTAGAGTATTTGACTTTGCACACAGAAATATGATGAAATATGAAAACAGTAGGGCCAAACTTTACAACTCTCTGATCTTAACAGCTAAATGTGAATCCTTTTTGCTGGATAACAGCCTGCAGTGATTTGTTTTCAACACACCTCCCAAGCAATCCCAGACCATTGTTCAATGGCAATTCTCTTAAGTGCCTCCAGCAGATTTTCAGTGATATTAAAGTCAAAAATTTGTGCAGGCCAGTCAGAGAAAATTAGTTGAGATTTAACAAGTCAAGATTTTGACTTGTTTGCGATTAATTTTGTTGTTGCAGGGTGGGGTCAAAATCTCCCCTGTGGCAACCAAAATGGTACTGAGGATCAAGTAATTTCCTGCGTATCAACATCAAGTATAAAATCCTAGTATCCCAACAACCCCTAGCTTCCAGTATGCGTAGTTTTTGTTGAGCAAAATTCAATCTGGCTTGAAGATGTTTCGTCTGTAGAAGTGACATTTTTCTTGGTCTGCAACCTTAAAGTTCATTTCTTTGGAGTGTTCTACTGATTGTCTTCTTTGAGACTACAATTCCGGACTTGGCTAAATCATTCACTGGTATTGTTAGACAATCATTTTCTTTCCAGAGTCTTTTAAATCTTTGGCTTCCTACCTCACTATTCTTGTTCTGAACTTTGTAGCCAACTTTGAATTACTTGATGGTATTTCTCACTTTTTAACACTCGAAAACACTGATGATGTTGTATATCCATCTCCTGCTTCGAGAGCACCAACAACTATTTTTCTCAAATGTAAACTGTTTTCTTTTGTTTTTGGCATGACGCTTTCTCAAGTGACAGCTCAAACCCTTGCTGAGCTTAACTTGATTTTACAAGCTTTGAGCATTACAACATTACAGCACATCATTGCACATCAGTGGTTTGGCTATGGCTCAATAAAAGGTTTTTATTATTGAGCTTCAGCTCACAAAGATAACTGCATAAAAGCTATTGAAACAATGTATTCATGTCCAGCTGTTGGACAGCTGATGCATTCTCTTTCCGGTAAGCAAAGAAATAATGTACCTTCATATAGCTTCCTGATTGACAGAGCTAACTCTAAACCTCAACTTAGTGACTGAAAAATTTGAGATACTCAAATTGAAATTTTAAGCTATTTTCTTACAATTGTGCCATTTTCTAGAAATCCTGACTTATTAACTGAAGATTTTGAAATACCCAGTTCAACATTATGAGTTATGAATAGCAAATGATTTGTGTTGTGGTTTTGTGGTTTTTTCCATTGCCATAAACAAGCTTACATGGGCCTGGCAGAGAACGAGACACAAATATCATGCTTAGGATGGACGGGTTCCTGATGTAAACAACAGGCATTTAACATTAGCTTGGCGCTAGCAAAGTGATACACTGAAAGATGGTATATACTGGAGTTTATTGACGTTGAAATTAAGCTATTCTTGACAACGGATACTTCTTACATATGTAATAATTGTGTTGTCTACTTATGGTGCTAGTAACTGCTATCCGGAGCGAACGAGCATGACAAGCTGCCAACAACAGGATATTAGGTATACTTCCGTTAGCTTAAGGTTACGACCATAAACACAACTGGTTCTTTAGTGTACTCCAAGTGCTGTGTTATACAAAGACTGAAACTTGCCATGTCTGTGGCTCACTTTAAAAGCCAACCGCGAGAGTCACGCGTCGTTTTATCATTTAGGTGCGTTAACACCAGCGCTGTAAATGTTGTTAGCTAACCGAGGCCTTCAGTCAACTGTAATCCTTGAGTTCTGCTCCACTTCATAAAGCTTCATATCAGTTTTACGTAGAAGGGCTTCAGGGAATGTGCATTTTAAGATGCTTCGTGACATTTTAAGGGCCACTCCTCATTTCGGCATATGGCATTGCACTAATCAGAAATTACCTCTAGATGTCTTACACATTAGCTGTTCCTTCGCTGTAAGTCTTTTAACATGTAAAAGAGATAAGTGGATTGTGTTTTACACACTTATGGTGCCTAGTACATGCCTATTAAACACAATAAACAACTACTCCGTAAGTGGTCTGTAATTGTGATTTTTAACCACGACAACCGTAACTACAAATTCAAAGCTAGCCTGCTAAACGCTAGCTAAGGTGGCAGAGTTTCCAGCAGTCTTTGCTACAAAAAAAAAACAAAAAACATTTTAAACAGCATTTTAAACTCACCTGAAAGTTAAACACTTGCACGGGCAAAGGCATCTTATGTTTGTCTCACTTAAGAATTGGTGTCTTTGAGGGGGTGGGGGTGGGATTGTAGCATGAAGACATAAATGTCTGGCGGACAGTTCAGCAGCCAAGCCGGACTGGGTTGGATCTCCAACTACTGGTGGGAGGTGGGAACTGCAACGGTAACCAATTAATTAAGAGCAAGGAAACTGAAAAAGAAAACATTGGTATAGAAAAATATTGAGATTGAAGAAAAATTAAACTGAAAAAGGAAAGGCTGACATTTAATGAACACAAATTTGTGTTTTACTTCTGTTGTTTTACATTTGCAGTTATTTTCCCTTTTTACTTTCACAATTGTTTTTTTTTTTTGCTTTTTTCTATCTGTTTTTCAGTTTAATCAATGACTGTTTTAATCATGTGTTGCTGTTTTGGCCAGTGGGGGAGGGGACTAAAGGCGGGTTTCTGCTGAGTCTTTACGGTAATTTGCATATAATTTGCATCCAGCAGACAATTAGCTAACTACCTTAACTGAACAACTTTGTAATGGATGTTACAAGTTAATTAAACTGAAAAATGGATTGAAATTGAAAAAATGGATGGAAGCTGAAAAAAAGATAGATTGAAACTGGAAAAAAAGTTGTAAGCGAAAACAAAAAAATTACAATTTCAATTAATTGCTTTTCACTATCAATTTTTTTCAGTTTCAATACAAGATTTTTCAGTACATTGTTTTCAGTTACAATATTTTTTTCAGTTTCAATATTTTTTTTGGTTTCATTTCAAGGTGGCATCGTTCTGACCCCATACTAACAAGGATCAAATATATTATGTGGGTTAAATAGCTGATTTTCCAATCCCTTCTATAAAGCTGCTATAAAAGGTGGAAATTAGTGAGTCAATCTAACCATTATCATTAAGATGAAAAAATGTCTACTAACCTCTAGATTTAGGCAGTCCATCATTATGGCTCACTCCAAGCTTTATCAAAGTTTTGCAAACGAACCAGTTTATGTTGCACTAAAATGCCTGGTTGTAAATAACACAACATTTGTATGTGCCAGCTTGTTTTCCAAGAAGCTTCAGAAAAACAAGCAAGAAAACGTGATTTATAGATTCAATATCTGATTTAAATGTTTACTGTGTAGGAACAGTTTATGTAATTGTTGTTTGAAATTAGTACTGAATGCTGTTCCAGATCTTTCCAGCCCACCTTAACCCTTGGGTTTCACATATGTGCACAATATAAATATGCAGCATATGTATCATTACTTAAGTAAAAAAAAAAATGCCATATGATGCTTCTTTTCAGCACATTTGACTGAGAGACAGTTGATAAAGAGTGGTCAGGCAGCTGTAGCACTTTGACTTTCATTTGTGATGGGTCAAACGATAAAGGACTCTCAGTGGGTGTATCAAAGCACAACTAGTGAAGCCCCGTATCAGCATGTGTATTGCTATAAGAAAAAATCACGTGACAGCTGTCGTTTCGTACACAACGATTTTTATAAAGTCATTGGTTGTACAGTGATGAGGTATGAAACTGTGTTTAAGAGCAAATTCGTGCTGAGAGTAGAAGAGGAGGAGACTATCTTTGGTGCTGTTTGTGACTTTACGTTTTAGGGTCATCATCACCGGAACCGCAGAGGAAAAGGACATTTTCTCCAGTCTGGGATCATTTAACACTGCCTCCACCCCTCACATACACTCCGACTGTTATAAGCGCGTATATATCCTAAAGCAAAAGTAAACAAAACATTAACTTTGATTTCCTGTTCTCAACTTATGCATCCTTGTAAAAAGTATTTTTGTAAATTCTGCATTTGACAGACTATAGTCTATTATATCGTTTTGTTATAATTAAATTAATTGGAATACAGAGTTATCTTTCATTCAGTTAGCACTTTACCATCAGCTGGTTATGTAAACAGGACCATTCATCACTCATTTGGTGTCTAGATATCAGAATGATTGAGCAAAGTTCAGTCCTTCTCCACACTCTTTATAAACGCTGGCTGCAATCATTATTTAAATCCAGCAGTTGTCGCTGCAGCTAACAATGCAACAATGCACTCAAGGCGAGCACAACATGCTGTCTTGATTGTAGATGCTTTGTTTGTTTGTTTTTTTATTAGTTTTCCTTACACAATTCAGTCTTTGGCTAAGCTGATATTTGTTGGTATAAACATGTTATATTAAAATAAATAATAATACTAATGTTGGGAAATCATCCATTTCTACTTCTTTATAAATAAAATGCAAATGTGAACATTTTCTTCAGTTATCTCTCTTTAGATATATTTCTTTTCACAGGTCCATGCAGAAATGCATTAGGGAAATTAATTATTACATACAAGGCAACAAGATTTCAGTTAACATTTATTGTAAAATCTACTTTCTAAGGGAGGAAGAGGTCTTTGCCTTTGCAGGGTTGTTGTGACATTACCCTGTTGATGAGTTTAAAATGTGAATTTCATGTAACCTTTCACTTTGTTTTATGCGAAACTGGTCAACTGCATAATTTAAAAAGCATTAAAAAAAAGAAATGTAAATTATGTATGTTGGTGTTATCAATCCTCATTTGGCTGAAATTCCATTATATGCATGATAAAACTGGAAAATCAATCTGTTTATCATTTTAACAGTCAAAACAAATATTCAGATGTTGTGTTATTGCATGAAAATACCAGGTAGCTTGGCACATCCAAGCTTATCCTATGAGTGTTCGGTGGGGCTGAGGCAGGCATGCCATTCCATCCTCTTCATTCCCAAATTTTGGAGGTAGTCTGTGTGGGGGCAAGTCTTGCCATCTTGGAGTACAGAATTTGGGCCCAGACTATCGAGATATGGGATTGCCACTTGTATCGTATCCATATCTCTCTGTATTGAGATTGCTTCCAATAATCACAAGCCTTGTTTTTCCTTCTTTTTTGCTTGTCCTGTTTGGCAGTGTAGCAATCAGAATTATTGTCTGAAGACCAAACAAAATGCCCAACAGATTAATTTTCCCAAGTGGACCATTACAGCTTTTGTTCCAAGAAACACACATGCGATTTAAAATTGAGAAGTGGGCACTTGCACCAGAGGGGAGGCTGATTAAACAGACTGTCCTCAGGGTGCCATTCAGTGTACCCACCCCAAGGCCCTATTTGTGTATGTGATGAGAGTGTAAGTAATGTAGTAGTGCCTGTTAAGGAATAAAACTGAAGCATCGGTGGCCAGGAAGGGACAGAGGAGGAATACCTCCCCTGCAACTCAGTGATGCACCTTTACCTCAAGGTCCTGCATGTGTGGTGGCATGATGAAGCAGGAAGAGGGAAGCAATTAAGGATGGAGGGGAAATGATTGGGACAGTTGGAAAGTACCTGGAGCCAGCTCCCCCCGCTGGCCCCCATGGACACCCCTGTTCTCCAAAATCCACCGAGAGCAGGGGTCCAGGCTCATCCAGTCTGAGGCCCACAGTGGCAGCACTATAGCCTTATTTTTCCAGTGAGGAAGATGCCCCTGGACATATGACAATGCCTCCATCAAAAGCTGTTACTCTATCAGTGCAGCAGTCAAAATAGTGTTCTCTGCTTCTTCTCCACACTTTGACCCTTTGGACCCATGTACTAGGCTTACTCCAAATAATGGTGTAATTGTGCAACTTGGTTTTGTAGAACACTGGCTTAAAATTTCCCCAATTAGGTATGGGCCCTTTTCAGGTCAGTTAAACATGGCATGCTTGGAGCAGACTGATCACATAATAGACATCTATGTTAATAGATGCTGATATAGCACCAGCACTTTACCAGCATTTTCAGTAGCACAATATTGGTTTGGCATCGACACAGAAGATTTGGTAACTTTGTGGCAAAAACTATGCAACCATTCAAAAGTCACTTAAAAAAAACTCTCTTTCCCATTCTGATGCTTGTATTAAATTTCAGCAGGTTGTATCAGTCATGTCTACGCGCCTAAATGCACTGAGTTTCTACCACATGATCGGCTGTTTATTCAATCATTTATTTTGTGAGTTGCTCTGAATTGTTGAGTCTGAAGCTATTAAAGCACAGATGGACAAAAAGTGCCTGTACAGGTGGAAATTACAAATCGTATCTGCTCATGACGGCTACAGTCCATCACAAAGAGAAAGTGACACTGACCATTTTAATCTCTCCCTCTCTGTGTCTAATCCTGTGGATGCTGATCAGTGCACTTCACTATCTTCTGCTGTACGTCACTGCTCAAAATCCGCACCCTATTAATAGCCAATAAGCGATTAATTGTTCATTCACAAGTCATCTATAGGCCTGCTGACACAACTTCACCACCAGTGATGGATTTTAGCTATATTATGATTATTAATTATGCTGTGTGTTGTAAAGTATTAGTTATACTTTACAACACACAGAGGTTCAAGTGTTCATAACTGTACAGCAATGTCACTTAATTATTATTATTTCAAAAGCATAAACAGCAAAATCTTAAGTTTATATACTACAGTTTCAATAATTAGTAAAGGGGATTATTTGCCCATTATCCACTATGAAATGCTGGTATATTTTAGCTCGCTCTAAGACACTGGACTTGTCTCTTGAGTAATTGTTTTAAAGAAGCAACTCTTTCATTGAGTCAATTACTAAACAGCCCTATTTTTGATTAATCTGCTCTTTATCATGACTAAATGCTGCTTCAATAATTAATCTCACTTCTATAGTACACACTGAAGAGGGAGAGGCAAAGCAGAGATCCTCAGACCTATTTTTTCCCAGCAAATGCCTAGTTGAGGAATCCAGCCTCTCAATTGTATCCTTACTCTACCTCAAGTCTCCTTCTGGTTAGACAAAACACCTCAACTGGCTCATTTTCATGTGAGGAGTAGCATCATTACTTAAACGCTGTGCATGAGGTGCAAGAAGAACATGACTGCAGATTCTTTGGCATCATAATAAGACATCTGTTTGAGTATGAATATTATATGAGAGCACTTGGGCATAGAAAAAAGAGCTTATATGAATGGGTAGATTGAGTAGAGAAGTGTGACACAAGAATCAGTCCTTTTATTAAACAGTCTTTTGTCTTAAGCATCTGCATTAATCTGCATTGTAAATAAAACTTTGAACTTTTCTTCAGAGCCCTGTGCTTGAGTCCAACTTAAATTAAGGTTATGACACAAGGGTGGCTCGAGAGGTAGAACATGTCATCTATAGATCTACTGATCCCTGGCTCCCCCAGTCTACATGCCACAAAGCTACATTGGAGTACGAATGTGTGTGAATGTTAGCTAGAAAGCACTTAAAGCATACAAGAAAGTACTTGTGTGAATGGGTGAATGTGGCATGTTGTATTAAGCGCTTTATAAGAATCAGTCCATTTAGCAGAAGAGTCTGTTAAACTAACAACCATTTTGCCACCATCATTTTTATAGGCTGACATTCAGGATAATTCATCACCTTTCAACTTTCCATCACATTTCCATAAAAGGATAGTTGTTGTTGAAGGTCTAGATGGGGCAATCGTTGCTCAAGTGTTGGCAGTTCGTCTTGTAATCGGAAAGTTGCTGGTTCGAACCCTGGCTCAGACAGTCTAGGTTGTTATGTCCTTGGACAAGACACTTCACCTACCACCTACTGGTGATAGCCAGAGGGGCCGATGGCATGATATGGCAGCCTTGCCTCTGGGTCAGTCTGCCCCAGGGCAGCTGTGGCTACAACTGTAGCTGCCTCCACCAGTGTGTGAATGTGAGAGTGAATGAATAGTGGAATTGTAAAGCGCTTTCAGGGTCTTGAAAAGTGCTATATAAATGCAATCCATTAGTATTATTACATTGATAATGTGTTGATCTGGGGGTTCTCACAGAAAGAACATGATTCTCACCTCCATACAGTATTCCCAAGCATAGAAAAATGTAAGATATCATCAAAGGAAGTTTAATTCCTCTGTAACATTTTCCCAGAAACTGGAGTTAAGCCATATCTATTCAAGACAGCAGCAACCAGAGAAATGCCTGACCTACTAACAAGACTGAACTGCATAGTTCAGTGAAGTTCTACTGCAAAGGTGGAGCAAAGAATGGACTTCCTGTCTGGACAGTCAGAGCGAACATCTCAGAGAGGACAGTTCTCTTCGACTGAAGCACACATCGTGCACTTCATGTCCTTGAAGTCCTTGTCAGGGCGAATGACCAGAAAGCAGATGTTGTGAAGGTGCCAATATATTAGCTTGCATGTACCGCTTACAGCACTGCCGTTTCACATCATCATCAACATAAAGATCATTTCTTAAGATATGACCCAAGTATTTCACTTTGCTCCCCACATTCAATACTTGGTCGGTTAAATAAAAAGATGGAATATTTAGCTTGTGATCCTCCTTAGTTGGAGCAATCACAATAACACTCTTTTTAGGGTTAAAAGCAATACTGGGCACCATACCTAACACAAACTCTAAGTAAGTGCTGCAAACCAGCACTGTAGGGAGACAAAATGACCAAATCATCAGCATACATTAATAACAATAACGTTACCCACAATAGACCCAGTCTTACATGCATTTAACTTGACAGAAAGATCATTAAGATACAGACTGAATAGAGCAGGAGACAATATTCCATCTTGTTCAGACACTACTAGATATCTTCCCAGTGAGTGGTCTAAACCACATGCTTTTTAGAGGCATCCTCTCTATAACAAGTTGTACTTCTTCAGGTCGAATAATTTTGCCATTATTGAAACCAACTGTACTACTGTTAGTAAAATCTATTTCTTTCCAAAAAGCATACACCTTAATGTGCTGAAGCTCTTTTTTGCCATAGAATTTGCCCTCATCATGCAAACATTCCTTTTAATGAAGAGGCTAAACACAAGCTACAGGTACCTTGGTGTTCATCTAAACAATAAACTGGACTGGACTCATAATTCAGATGCCCTCTACAGGAAAGGGCAGAGCAGGCTGTACCTGCTGTGGATACTCAGGTCTTTTGGAGTGAAGGGCCCAATCCTGAAGACCTTCTATGACTCTGTGGTGGCCTCAGCCATCTTTTACGGTGTGGTCTGCTGGGGCGGCAGCATCCCTGCGGGGGACAGGAAGAGACTGAGCAGGCTGATCCGCAGGGCCAGCTGTGTTCTAGGATGCCCTCTGGACCCAGTGGAGGTGGTGAGTGACAGGAGAATGGTGGCTAAGCTGTCATCCCTGTTGGACAACATCTCCCAGCCCATGCAGGAGACTCTGACAGCACTGAGCAGCTCCTTCAGTGGCAGGCTGCAGCACCCACGGTGTGGGACGGAGCAGGTCTTTCCTCCCAACTGCTGTCAGACTCCACAACAAAGACTTTTGCAGCTGATCAAACACACACATCCACACATGTGGAATAAGACTAAGTGCAATACTCTTTTTCTGACAAAGTTGTATTTTTACTCAGTTGTATATAGCATTTGAATTCTATTTTTATCCTATTGTATATTTTATTCTATTGTATATAGTATTTTATTTTATTTTTTCGATTCTATTCTGTACAGCTGTGTACAGTATATTATTCTTATTGTATTCCAGTGTTCTCCAGTTTTTGCTATATAACTTTGCACTGTCCACTTTCTGCTGTGACAAAACAAATCTCCCACATGTGGGACTAATAAAGGTTCTCTTCTCTTCTCTTCTCTTCTCTTCTCTTCTCTTCTCTTCTCTTCTCTTCTCTTCTCTTCTCTTCTCATAAATGAGCAGGTACAGAAAAAACCTCCACAAAAAGGCCACAGATCTATTGCCTTGTTGGGATACTTCAGCCCAGGTCAATTCTTTATGGGGCACCTGCTTCATTCCACTGTGCCAACCTTACAATCTCTGCTCAACCTATTGTTTCCTGACAGTGCTGCTGTCAGTGAAAGTCAGAAAGAGAGCAGAAATGCAAATCAGAAATGAGTCAATAAGTGCCAGCATATGCATGAGCTCTGCTACCATCCACCTGGGAAACAGATGTGGTTGACCAGCACCAAAGTGACAGGGACTGTAGTGTGTGAACATTCAACACCACTTACACTGAGCTGTACACCAGTTTATTACAATGGAGTCCACAGTGTAGATCAGGCTGAGCAGTTTTCAAACCATGGAGAGTGGACCTGTAAATAAATAATAATTTATTCTTGGTTTGAAAAAAAAAATCAAAATGGTTCTACTTCAGTAGTGCCACTTTGTTACCACAACAATCCTTATGTTAGTATGTATAATCAATTTGTTGCTATGTGAGGATGGGCAGGGGATCCTCCGTGATGTTTTTTTGCAGTAGAGGGTTACAATGCTAGTAACTGCATGTCGCAGGCAATAAAAGCTCATTCGCTACCACTCATTTTCCTTGAATACAAACCTCTTAATGATCAGTACTTAGTAAAACACGTAATTTTTTTTTAAACTATCCTAGATGAAAGTTAGAGATTTTGAATGCTTCTTCACACATTGTCACATGCATAGTCTGGAATAAACCTGTAATAAACACTGAGCTGATTACATGATTCTTATGTAATTCCTTCTTAGTGAAAGTGATGCTTTTTCTGCCATCTCCCTTTTTACAACCATCCCCAGTGTTCCCTAAAACTTAAAGGATGTGTTGAATATTATAATCATGTTTTATTGTGCTGATTGGTAGTGCTAAACAGCTGTCAAAACCAGACTATATTTTGTGCTTTAGTGCGGCTCTCCTGTATATATCCTTCCCGTATATACATGTGTACAGAGGAGGCTTCCCACAGTTACAGCGTGGTCCTCTGTACCACCCAGTAAAACATGGAAGCGCGCCAGACTGTAAGAAGGCTGGCTGTTGATTTGATTTGGCTCCCTGTAAAATATCGCAAACCTAATACAATCGCGTGAACTCGGTGATCTTCTCTCGTGCACTGCTGTAAGCGCGCGCGTACGCTGAGGCAGTAGGAGCGCGTGCCGTCAGTCCCAGGGGACGATGAATTTGCGGAGGTAGACTGCGTTTTACTCACTCTCCCTTCAAGTGGGTTTGAGGTTTTCGTACCATTTTTTAAGTGCAAGTAGGAGGTGATGTTAAGCTCCTGGCGCGCACACAGATGTGTTTCTAAAAGCCTACACTGCGGTAGAATGAGCGACTCATTTACGACCTTCTACTATGACGGAAACTTAAATTCAGCTGAATGACTTTATGGATTAGCGCGTGCTGGGGAGGACTGGCTATGTAACTGACACGGGGATTAATCAAGCTCGTCCAAACCGCATCCATCCATCTGGAAGGAACGTTAGTCTCTGCAGACTCCGTTCTTCTCCATTCATCCGTTACTATGTAAGACAATGGTACCAGTTCCTCTGCAAAAACACGCGCGGTTGCTTAGTTTCTGATGCTTGGCTGTGAAACAATCTGTCGATCAGCACCAAAACCCGGTATTCTCCATTTCATATGGGCGAAGACGAGGAGTGCTCCAGCGCCCCTTCACGCCGCGGAGAAAATGCAGAGAACGGAAAGAGCGGAGCAGCTCTGGACCCAGAAAGAGAAAAGAGGTATGCGGAGCTGTTCGAGCAACTGGACTTGAATAAAGATGGCAGGGTTGACATCAATGAACTGAAGACCGGACTGGCAACTCGTGGTTTACAACTCCGAGAGGCTGAGAAGGTGAGCAGGTGTTTTTAATGCGGCACAGGCTGAGGCAGACGCACGCGCACGCTGTACGTGAACTAGTTTATAGTGTTTGTAAAAAAAAAAAAAGTAAACTTATCTTAAGGGTAAAGAGTGTGGAAATGGTTTCTTCTGTATTTTAGGCTTTTATTTAATCAAGTTTATCTTTGTGTGTTTGTGATGCAAGGGCGTAGATTTGGCATGGACGGAAGGGACATATCCCCACCAATATCAGAATCAGAATCAGAATACTTTATTGATCCCTGGGGGAAATTATTTTTTGTTACAGTGCTCCATTTTAAACCAACATTAAGACAAGACAGACAATACGCTAACTAAGAATAGTACAATATATACATATATATACATACATACATACATAAGTCACTTATAAATAAATATTTGGAAAAGAAACATGTGTAGTTGTAGCAGCAAACAGTGTGTTAAGTGGATGCGTTGTACAGGGAGATGGCCACAGGCAGGAATGATTTCCTGTGTCGTTCAGTGGTGCTTTTCGGTAATCTCAGTCTCTCACTGAACGTGCTCCTGTGACTGACCAACATGTCATGGAGTGGGTGGGAGGTGTTATCCAACATTGTCTTTATCTTGGACAGCATCCGCCTCTCCGACACCACCTTGAGGGAGTCCAGCTCCATCCCCACAACATTGCTGGCCTTACGGATCAGTTTATTAAGTCTGTTGGCATCTGCGACCCTCAATATTCAGCGATTATTGAATTGTCCCCACCAATAATTTGATCTATTCGAGTAAAGAAAATCAAACCCGATAGAAAGAAAAAAAAACCCCGATCTGTCAACGTCTCATTCACCCAGCGGTGCAGAAAGAGTTAAATTACGTCCTCTACTGGAGTCCTACCTCATGTGACAAATATGGCCAATGTGATTGGCTGTGCCTTTCAGGGAGCTCTGTTTGGTTTTACCAGCGGCAAGCCTGCGCTCAGTTTTGCCAACTTAGCGACTTTGTCGCTATATTTAGCGAGTTTTCAGACCCCTTAACGACTTTTTTTCTAAAAAAAAAAGTCGCTAAAAAAAGACGTGAAAGCGCGTATCACTTTTACTCTCAACAAGCAGCGGGTGCTGTAACGCAGTCAGTTCTTCTTTCACTCCTTTACTCTTATGCTGTTTTGTGGATCACAAGGTTTAAAACTACTTATAAACACACACACACAAAGTAACTCCACCAGAGTGCCTATTTCGGGTCACTTTTGCCGGTCCAAGCCCAGGTAAAGGAGCAGGGTTGGAATTGTGACATTAAAAAAAAACAATAATTGCTAAAAGAAATTTAATTTGTAGTTCTAAATAAACTCTAAATGCATTTAGGACGTTTTTTACTCACTTTATGTCTCTTCCACGATGTTATTTCTCTCTCCAACAACATAGGTTACAATTAGATTAGCATGACCAATTAGGCGATGACGTCATTTAGCGACTTCTAGCGACTTTTAGGACAACCAATAGCGATTTTCCTTACTGAGGAGTTGGCAACACTGCTTGCGCTGCGAGGAGGAGAGGAGGATGGCAGCAAAAAGGAAGAACCTGGATATAAGTATTTTTCAAAGAAACCTGCAAGTCACTTAAAGCCAAATTAACTCATAATATGTGTCCGTCATAATAACGTTACAGGCTATGCTAGGCTTTGGCCCACATCAATCTAAAATTGTATGTAACCACGAATAACGTGTTTTGGAAACTAACTGCACAACAGGCAGCACTATTAGTTATCTCAGTCTCCCAGAGTAGCATTTCTAATTTTGATTGAAACTGTCAGAGAAAACGGCAGCTTTGAGCAAGTCAGGATATTAGTTTACAGAGGCTGTTAAAATTATATGTCTAACATTAAAATGTTGGTGACACAATAATTTCATCCTAATGGTACTGACATATTCATAAGGTTAATTTTTGAGACAAAATGTCATGAGGTAGTCTTGTAGTGCCACCTTGTAGTGCAGTTTGCACAAATTGTTTTAAAAATGCACTCACCCTACAAACATTACTGATGAGTCAAGATCTGCACAAATTGACAGAAACACCGAAGCAGCTACTCATTTTATTCTTATTGTCATGTATGTCCTATTTGTCAGGTGACAGAAGAACCAACACAAAGCTCGGAGAGTAATGGTGATACAAGATCACAGGTGAAATTGGATGATGACTTGTTGGTTCATTACTGTATTTGAAGCACATGTGTGACTGCATGTATTTGGAATGTCTCACTGTTATTTATCAGGTGACAGAGGCAGCTCTGCCATGCTGTAGCTCGGACAGAGGTGAAGAGGTGAGGTCACAGGTGACTGACTGATGATTTGGTGCTGTAGATTAAATAGTATTTATTATCATGACAATTGTTAGGCTGCTGATGTAAATTGTTTCATTAGTGTATATTTGACAAAGAATCTGAATTGACATGTCTCACTTTTTATATGGCACGAATCAATGTGTTATTTTATCAGGTGGTAATATGTCGTAGTGCAGTCAGAGGGGAAGAGCCAGGGCCAAAGGTGAGGCACATCAAGCACAGAATAATAATTGTAATCTGAGGATAAAACGCATGTACTGAGGCTGAAAGAAGCTTCAGTGCTCTCAGAAGACTAAAAAGATGGCTAAGGTTAACAATGACTCAAATGAGATTAAACAATGCTGCTGTATGCCATGTCCACCAGGAGAGACTGGACAGTATAGATGTAAAACAAATATGCCAGCAGTTTATCTCAGTTAACAAGAGGAGAAGGCATGTGTTTGGCTCCTTCACATAGTGGACATTGAGTTGTTGTGTGGGACACCAGTAGTCCATGTCTGTTGCTGTAACAGTAGTTCATGTTTAGAATAGAAAATCTCAGCTCACTGATTTGATCGGGGCAATTGTGTGCCTAAACTGTTGCATAATTTTGCTGAGAGATCTTTTACTTTGTGGTAATCTTAAATGAGTAGTTTTATGGACAAAAACCACCAGGTCATTCAGTGTTCCCTTAGGGCCAAAATATAACAGATGTTGGTGTACTATAACTGAAGTAATGATGTTAAGTCCTTAAAGTCATATTCTTTTATTGTCATGACTGTATTTGAAGCTATTTTTATTTTTGTATGATACCTGATTTATATGGATTATGGCTGAAGTAAACTAAAGCCTAAAATACTTAGTCATTTGTTTAATAGTACTTTAACATTATATAAGTCACATATAAAACTATGAATTGTGATTTTAAATGGTTTAAAAGCACGTAGAATAGCACATGTAGGCAAGTATATTTCTCCTCTTTTTATTAAGAAGCAAAAACCAAAAGGAAAAAAAAGAAACAGGGCAGAGTTCAGTGGTTGAATCATCCGTCCCCACCAATGCCAAAACCAAATCTACGCCCTTGTTGTGATGTCTTACTGAGGACACTCGACGTCAACGTGGTACGTGGTAAAAGTTATGTCTCTGAACAGAAGAATGAATAGAAGAAAAGAACTAACTTTTGAAATCCTGATCGTGGAGTACTTAAAGAAAAATAATATAAGGGATTGAGCTACTTTATGCTGGGGAGTCTAACAGCTGCATCCCCATTTTAAACCAATGTCAGAAATGGCAACAGTCTGTTGAAATAAATCAACTTTGTCACACATTTAGCAATAAGTCCAAGTTTAATGACATTGCTCAGTTTTTCTTGGACTCAGTAAATGAACTTTTTCTTCATTAGCCATTCAAATAATACAGGGGATGCTATACGCTTTATATATGGACTTCTGAAGATCCACAAGATGCATGTGGGTTATACCCATGAAAACCTTGCCAATCTTCTCTGCCAGTGACAAAAACGTATTCTGCTACTGACTCTTGTTGGGTGCTGTTTATTGAGTTGGATAATTGAAGACATATTGGCAAATAAAGAATTTGTTAATTTAATAAGCAAGGGCCTCGGTATCATATGGAAGAACAGCCTGGCACCTCCCCCTCATGCTGGTCACCAGCTTGGTCACACACTGCTGTGGGATGGCATTCCACTCTTCAACCAGCTTTTTTGCAAGTCAGCCTGTGTGATTGTGTTAGTCATTCTGGCTTGAGCAACATGTCCAAGCTGATCCCACAAATGTTCAATGTGGTTGAGATCAGGACTGCAGGTAAGCGATAGCATCCTCTCCAAATTCTGGTGGTAGTGTCCAATAAACTCCACTCTGTGGGGGTGAGCACTGTCAAAGTTCAGTCCCAGACTGTTGAGATATGGGATTGCCATAGAGATGGCCTCCAATGATGATAAATCTTGTTTTTACAGTGAGGGAGATGCCGCTGAACACAATCACACTGTCTCCAGCAAAAGCTGTTACCAATGAACATAGCATTCTCTGCATCTTCTCCACACTGTGATCCAACTGCCATAGGCAGAATCTGGACTCACATAAGGTTCCTCCACATTTTCAGCTTCCAGTGAACATGTTGTCAAAGCAAGAGTCAATAGCAGACTAAGGTGTTTAGTATTGGCAGAGAAGATTTGGTAAGTTTTTCATGGACTCATCCCACATACTCAACTCTGCTATTCAACCCACAGATATATTTTCCTTACAAATGTGGCACCATTTAAAGGGAAATAACAGGCTTTCCAGTATAAGATTTATTGCCAATTAATACAGCAAGAAACAATTGAGCATGCACACATTTTCTTACTCTTTAAGAAAGTTTAGTTTTGTTTGCCTCAAGACATAGCTCAGGTACTGAAGCTGGGCTTTATTTACCTTACTTACTGTCAGTGTTGGTCAAGTTACTTGAAAAAAGTAATCAGTAACTAATTACTTATTACTTGACCAAAAAAGTAATCCCGTTACTTTACTGATTACTTATTTTCAAAAGTAATTAATTACTTAGTTACTTAGTAACTTTTTAAAAACACGATTTACAACCTGAATAGGTGATAAAGCGATAGATCTTTCAGCCCAATTCTACTTTTTCTGCATAATCCATCATACAAAATGTAATCAAATGGAAAAGTCTCCTTTTAAAACTTG